TAAAAAAATTAATGTGACCTTGACCTGACCTTCGCTACGCAACCCAAGGTCAAACTGATGTGATCAGTAAATACATCTTTTTAAACGCCACAACTTTTATCTGAAACATTTTTTTCTAAAATGCTTAGTTTTCGAGATATTTCACCGGTCCGGGACTTTTTGAACACCCTGTATGTACTTCATTGACATGTCGATGTATCCGAGAAGCGGTGACAAGCGGCACAATACGAGCGGAGACAGCTTAGCGCTTCTCGCGGCCGGCGGGGTTAGCTATAGCTATCGCCGAATGATAGCGATATCGTCTGTACTCTTCTATTCTCCTGAACTCGGCCGAACCTCGCCGCGTTCACGGACACGGGCGCCGTTTGTGTGGGTTTCTCCCACCGCGCTGCCAGCGTGCTGTAAATGTAACAAAACTGAGAGCTCTGATGTGACCTTTACGATCGCTAAAAAACTTTCGATACGGTTTACAGCATCATAAAGATTGCAGCTCCGGCGAGATTCAAGGTGGCCGATCCGATGCACGTGAGCAAGTTCAAGACTGTCTTTGTTAAAAGTTACACGCCCAATTGGATTACTGAGTGTTTAAGATCGACCAATCCTGTGACCTATCTACTCGAAGATTCTCGCAGAGAGCCTGTAGTCGGAGGTTTCTACGAGTACGAACTGCATCGTGTTGCCAATCCAAACGTGTATTTGATGAAAAAAATGTTGTGCAGAAAAGGCGATAAGATTTATGTGAAATGGTTGGGATTTGATAAATCATGCAACTCGTAGATACACATGGATGATGTGTTGTAAAAAATAACTGTTTATTATGATGTTTACTATATCTTAATATATGCTATATAGTATAATAATAATAATATAATAATTATTAATATATAATAATTAATAATATATAATAATAACAATATGATATATAGTATAATAAGAATAATATAATAATTATTAATATATAATAATTAATAATATATAATAATAACAATATGATATATAGTATAATAAGAATAATATAATAATTATTAATATATAATAATTAATAATATATAATAATAACAATATGATATATAGTATAATAAGAATAATATAATAATTATTAATATATAATAATTAATAATATATAATAATAACAATATGATATATAGTATAATAAGAATAATATAATAACAATAATAATAACAATAGTGATTATATATACAGTGTGTCCCATAAGTTTGGCAACGGCAAAAAAACTCGGCGGGGGAGCATTTTAGAGAAAAATGTTTCCAATAAAAGTTGTAAGGCTTAAAAAGTCGCATTTAATGGCAGTAGTTATTTAACCTAAGATGACGTCACCAAGGTCAGGACAAGGTCAACTTTGCTTTTTTAGATAGAAATACATATTTTTTATTACGGCATTTTATTCTACGTGAAAAAGCAAACAACTTTTGTTTGAAAAAATTTTTTATACGACCTCTATTTTCTAAGATATTTACGTAAATATCTACAAAATTATTGGTTTCAATAATTTTTTACTTGAATTCTATCAACTTTACCGAAAAATATCAAGAGATAAAAATTATTTAGTTTGTTCTCATTGAGCTCTGAGAATTTTTTCAGAATTTTATATTAATTTTTTAGTACTGCATTTTCCTGCATTTTCTTGAAGTACTAAAAAGTTAACACAAAATTCTGAAAAAAATTCTCAGAGCTTTTTGAAACCAAAATAAGCAATTTTTATCACTTAATATTTTTCGGTAAAGTTAATAGAATTCAAGTAAAAAATTATTGAAACCAATAATTTTGTAGATATTTACGTAAATATCTTAGAAAATAGAGGTCGTATAAAAAATTTTTTCAAACAAAAATTGTTTGCTTTTTCACGTAGAATAAAATGCCGTAATAAAAATTATGTATTTCTATTTAAAAAAGCAAAGTTGACCTTGTCCTGACTTTGGCCACGTCATCTTAGGTCAAATAACTACTGTCATTAAATGCAACTTTTTAAGCTTTACAACTTTTATTGAAAACATTTTTCTCTAAAATGCTCCCCCGCCGAATTTTCTTGCCGTTGCCGAACTTATGGCACACACTGTATATACAGGGTGAATATTATATACCGGAACACCTGAATATCTCGAAAACAAAGCGTTATATAAAAAAATGTTAAATGCAAAAGTTGTAGGGTTTTAAAAGATCTATTTTATGATATTAGCAGTTTGACCTTGAGTTGCGTCATAAAGATCAGGTCAAGGTCAGAATGATGTTTTTAAATAGATACCCCTATTTTTTATTATATATTCTTGTAGCTTATCTCGAGAGCTTTCCAACACACTATACTTAAGTATTTTTTCGTTTAGTACTTTTCGAGTTAAGAGGCTTCAAAGTTACGCTATTTACTATTAATACGAGCGCGCCTTCGTGCTCGTCACTACGGTATCCACGCGCGCTAATGCTAAAGAGCGTAACTTTGAAGCTTCTTAACTCGAAAAGTACTTAACGAAAAAATACTTAAGTATAGTGTTTTGGAAAGCTCTCGAGATAAGCTACAAGAATATACAATAAAAAATGGGGGTATCCATTTAAAAACATCATTGTGACCTTGACCTGATCTTTATGACGCAACTCAAGGTCAAACTGCTAATATCATAAAATAGATCTTTTTAAACCCTACAACTTTTGTATTTAACATTTTTTTATACAACGCTTTGTTTTCGAGATATTCAGGTGTTCCGGTATATAATATTCACCCTGTATACAGGGTGTTCAAAAATGGCTTAAAAAAAGCACAAAAAGATTTTTATATATTTATGTAAAATTTTTTTTTTTTTTTTTTTAAGCTAATTAATTTGTCTTATTATTCTGCGCAAAAAAGCATTAAGACAAGATAACCGAAAGATGAATATTTTACGAGATATTTTGTATTCTATGTCAAAGTGCTGGAAATTTCAAGT